GCCCTAAAATGTCAAATCTTGACCAGGAAAACAGCGCAGCTGTGCACTATTTCTCCTTTGTCTCAAAATTACCCCAACTGACCTAATTTTCCACGAAAGCACTGCAAAACGCTCTTCAATCGAAAACCAAATAAAAGGAAGGATTGCAAAGACCCTACGAATCCGAGGTGGACAAAGCGACGAAAGCACTGTTCGGTTCCAGTCTGCTGTCGACTGATTCCGAGAGTCGTTTTCGTCGCTCTGCCCTTGGCAAAGCTACGGGAAAAACCCGAAACACTTTTTGGAACCCCGTGGCCCCTCAATACCCGGGCCACGTCGGGCCGAAAAAAAATTCTCCGTAGGACCGGGGCACGGGGACTCCGAGGCTTCGGGGTTTTCGGGCCACGGGGAAGCGTGCAAACGGAACGTGCGGCCCTCCCCGGGTCCCCTGAAGAGCCTACGGAGAATATTGATAAGGGCTACGGTCCGGCAAAAAAATTAACCAGGATTTTCGTACCTTTGCCACCTGGTCGGCCCTCTCCACCTTTACGGGACGCTCCACGACTGCGAGAGAGACGGAGCGACGAAAGCACTCGTTCGGCACCAGCCGGCACAGTGGCTGGCGAATGGACCGCGCGCCGCCCGCACGCTCGGCGCCCGGAAAGAAAATGGGTACTGAGCTGGCGGGCCACGGCGGCGGTCGGGGCTGGACGGAGCTCCGAGGGGCTGGGCTCAGCGGCCTGCTGGGCCACGGCGTGCCACAGCGTGCCACGCCCCGCCACAGCGTGCCACGCCCTACCACGCCGTGCTACGCCCTGCCACGCCCCACCATGCCCTGCCACGGCGTACCACGCCTTGACACGGTGTGCCACGCCCTGCCACGCCCCACCACGCCCTGCCACGGCGTACCATCCTTGCCAGGGGCCCCCGGGTACCACGCCCTGCCACGGCGTCCCACCCCCTGCCACGGCGTACCACGCCCTGCCACGGCGTACCACGCCCTGCCACGGCGTACCACGCCCTGCCACGGCGTACCACTCCTTGCCACGGCGTACCACGCCCTGCCACGGCGTACCACTCCTTGCCACGGCGTACCACGCCCTGCCACGCCACGCCGTGCCGTGCTTGACCAGCGCGGCCCGCCATTCTATATTCCGTGTGAGGCCGCTGCCGCCGTATCTGGCGGCGCCGCGCCGCGCAGTTAGGCGGGTACGCGACGCGCGGCCGACGACGGGCTGCTCGAAGTAGCGGCGTCAGTCTGCCGGCGTAACGGGTTGGGACAAACTACCCCGCCCGCCAGCGCTCCGCCCCCTGGCCTTCCCTGCGATGCGCCCCCCTCCCCTAATCCGGACCGCCCCTAGGCAAGACGACCGAGAGAGTAGTGCGGCGAGCGCGCGTCGGAGGTAAACTTTGATGGTGGCCCTCGCGCACGCTCCCCCTCCGGACGGGCTCCGAGGAGTGTCGCGCTGTCTCTCTCGCACTCGTGGGACGCCCCCTAGGGGTGCGAGAGAGACAGCGCGACGGAGCGCCGCCCGGAGCCAGCCCGCCGGCCACGCGGGCCGCTCTATCGCTGCAGCAGGGTCTTTTTCCCGGGCCGCGGCGCGGCGGCGGTCTGCGCTTTGTCATGTATGGAATAATATGTGTCGACAAAGATTGGCAAGCTGTCGCCGTCACGGCTACACTGCCAAGGCTGATTCCGATCAATGCCTCCGCTGTCTCTCTCGCACCTTTACTCGACGCCCCATGAGTGCGAGGGAGACAGAGCGACTGTCGGAATCAGTCTGCTGACCGACATCACCCTGCTGGTGTTCGGCTACAACGGCCCGTGGAGTGTTTTGTCCGCCAGGACGCCATTAGAATTTCAGATGTTTCTCGAGTGTTGATAAAGGGTCGTCCGCGGGATCGATTCTCGCCACTGGCCGGCGGTTTTCCTCGTGGCGTCAAAGTTTGGGGAACACGCTGCCCTGCTTTCTGGCCGTGTCAGCCCCGAGGATAGTGTTTGTTAATTAGTCAGGGAGAGGGACCGCTCTGCACTTTTGCTGGCGGTTCAGTTCGTGTGGGAACGGTAAAGGGGGAATCACTGTGAACTTCGGTCAAATTTCGGTTTGAGTTTTCGTATTCGAATTTCGGAATTGAAATTTTAGTCAAATTTTGATAAATGCTATTTTCTTTAAATTATGCGAATTTTTTTCGTAAGAATTACAGAGTGTAGCTATGCACATCTTAATACATATATAAGGGGCAGTATTTTCGTGTTGCGCCCAAATTGTATCTAATGTATGTACAAATCTGTGCGTGTAACTTACACCTTTACGTCCACACATCAAAAGGGGGGCCCCGGAGGGTTTCAGGGGGGGGAATTCCCCGGCGAAAAGTTCCTCCCAAAACCAGGGTTAAGGGGAAATTTTTTTTCCAAAAATTAAAAATTTCCGGTTTCTGCGCCGGGCCAAATTTCACCAAAAGCCTTGGGGGGTGGGGGTGTGTGCACGATTCCTCGAAGGGTAAACCTCCCTCCTGGATATCGTCCGGGATGCTTCAGGATACTCGAACGCTGCAAAATGCAAAGGCAGTGTAGCCCGGATTGTCGCGCTTAAGCCTAATGCCTGGACGGCAGGCCTTGGCCGCCTTGGCGTGGCGGGTCTTGGCCGCGTCGCCTCGGCCCGCCTTGGCAGCGCCGCCTGGAGCGGACTGCTGCTTCTTGACGCTTCTGGGTCATGAAAGTAAAACCCAGTCCAGCGTGGCGCGGCGTCTCCTCGAGTGGCCATATTTCCTACTTACCAGGACGGCTGAAGCTACTAAGGGTGCCGGGAGGGGAGGGGGCAGGGACGGAGGGGAGGGGAAGGGGGTTCCTCGGGGAGCAACAGGCTGAGTATAATCGAAGGGAACGCGTCCGTCAGTACTCGATCTTGCAGTGCACCAGCTGGGCCGGCTGGCCGGGCTGCGCGCGGGACCAATCTTTCCCATGTCATCTGCTTTATGCCCGACGTTCGTCCATCCAGCAGGGAGATCCGGCCATCCGTCTCGGGGACGGCCATGGGGCATGGCCATGGGGCACGGCAACTGCACAGAATCATCTTCCTTTGCCGGCCGCCTGGCTCATTGTTGCGAATTTGTTCCGGGGCCTCCATGCACTTAGAACGCATGTCACTAGGCGAAGTCTCATGCTGCAAGATGCAGGCGGGTTGTCTCATTCTAAAGAAGGTTCCGCCCAAGTTGACCTCCTGCGCCTCCTGACTGTCTGAAATCTCATGCGGCACTGCTAACCCAAGTGCTTGGTCTTCGTCCACGCTTCGAAGAGTAGACAACCTGTTGAAAAAGAAAAAAAAACGTTTTTAAGCGCTTCACGCACGTGGACCACACGCTGAAAACCTTACGAAGTATTTTAAACATACATAGCACGAACTTCTTTGTGAGGCCTGAAATAGTTTGTTACGTTTTCTCAGTGGATATTTTGGCGATTGGAAAACCAGGAACCCGCCGTTTCTGCCGTCGTGTTGTGGCTGTTGATCTCAAGCTGACCCCGAATCTGTTCAAAGGTACACTCTCATTCCAGGAACTTGACATCACGTTGAAACGAACGTGACAAACTGTCACGTTCGTTTGAGCATTGTGTCACATTCGTTTGGGTGTGAATTGGCCGAAAATCAGCTCGTTCACATTCAAACGAACGTGACACAATGCTCAAACGAACGTGACACTTTGTCACGTTCGTTTCAACGTGATGTCACGTTCCTGGAATGAGAGTGTAGCCCTTTAACCATTCGAGCCTAAGGTGACCCCGTTCAGCGAGCATAGTCGCTGCCGCGACCCGCCGGAAATACGCCAACGTGCGCCCGTTTTTTCTATTCCGGGGCCATTATTTGGCACTCTGCGCTGTTGGACGCGTCCCGCGGGCCGGACACCCGATGACGCGTCTACGGGCGCGCCGCTGTGCTTTTGATGTATAGCCGAAGCCGTGTATCCGCGCCGCGGTGACGTATTGCCGCCTGCATTCCGCCAGAAGCGAGGCGCGGAAAATATATCGCCGTGGTCGAACTTTTGGCCCCCCGCACTTATAAATCGACTATATTAATTGGGAACGCGCCGCCGCCGCCGCAGTCGTAAATCGATACCTCGAATATTTTGACGCGAACGATTTCGGACAGATTTATTCGCCATTTGAAATGGATTGCCGCCTAACACGGGGCGGGCCGACCAGGCCGCTGTGGCGAGTGCGGCTAGTGATTTGTTGCAGTCCACTGTCTGTCTGTCTGTCTGCCTGTCTGTCTGTCTGCCTGTCCGTCCATCTGTCTGTCTCGCCCATTCGTCTCGGTCGCCATCAGCGCCGCGTTATAAACGGCACTCACTTGGATTTCATTTTCGCGCGGATCGCTCCGTCGACAAAGAAAAAAAAAAAAAGCACAAAAAAACAAAAAAAACACACAATGTTTATTTTTGTTAGGCACGCGCGCCGAGCAAACAATGTGTGCGCGGCGATGCAGTAATGCATGCACGTGTCACGTTTCGTTCCGCAGATTGACACAGCGCGATGCAAACCTTTAAAAATTAGTGATGATGACACTCTGCCCGGCCGTTGCGTGGGCGTTGTGGAAATGCAGCGATAAACTGCAGCGCGCGACGCGTGTAGTGGTTCGGTCGTAATGGCGCGAGAAAAAAAAGAGGAAAATCGAGGGGCCTGGGCCATAATGGGACTGAGAGTGCTCACTCGCTCTGGTGAAATTCGGCCTGATGCACGCTGCCGGGGACTCGGGGTGGAGCGGTGGCTGACACGAGGCAGTTACTGACACTTGAAAATTTCCGCAGATTCTGCCTTGTCTTTAGTCAATGCGAAAGGGGAACAGCTTCCCACACTCATTGTACAAAATTTGACATTCCACATTCAGGTGGCAAAAACGCCTGTAAGCAGGCAACATGTGTGGCAAAACGCCTGAAAGTAGGCGACATGTGTGGCAAAAACACCAAGCAGCAAGGAAAGCCACATGGATATCTTGTTGACCAGCGGCTCCCATTGTCTGTTGCAGTCGTGCCCACGTGTCGCTGGGAGCGCAGCGTGGTGGGCGCCATCCGCGGCGTGCCCGTGGACGTGCACTGCGCCGTGGAGTCGGACCCGCCGGCGCGCCAGTTCCGCTGGAAGTTCAACAACAGCGGCGAGACGATGGACGTGGCGGCGGACCGCTACGTGGCCTCCTCCAACGGCAGCGTGTCGGTGCTTCGCTACACGGCGCTGTCGGACCACGACTACGGCACGCTGTCCTGCCTGGCCGAGAACAGCGTCGGTGCGCAGCAGGAGCCGTGCGTCTTCACCGTCATCAGCGCCGGTGAGTGCAGTACACCGCCAAACAGGCCGTGCGACTCCGGAGCTCAAAACGCGTCAAGAGTTTTGACCGCCTCCACCGGACTTCTGCACAGTAAATGTCTTACGGTGAAAGGCTGCACCAACATATTATGGTGGAGATTTTCTCCATAATACCAACGAAATTAGTCAAAATATCTATATGGTACAGTGAATTCTCAATGGTATGTTACGAAGTCAGCTGCACCACCATAATATGGAACATATTCACCATAATATGGAGAATCGTCACTGTACAACATTTAGAGTGTGACCCAAACTGTGGCGCAAGAAGTAACACTTCACATCGTACGCCGCGTTGCCGCCACTGCGGCCGCACAGTGGGCCAGAAGGCCGGTGGAGGCGGCTGAAACTCTAGACGCGTTTTGAGCTCCAGAGCCGCTAAACAGGACTCGAATCGAACGTAGTGACCCCACCAATGGATTCCACGTTCGGAGAGCAATCCATAGGTAGGGTCACACGTTCAGTTTGACTCCCGTTTAGCGACTCTGCTGCTCAAAACGCGTCTAGAGTTTCAGCCGCCTCCACCGGCCTTCTGGCCCACTGTGTGAGGCGCAAGGAGAAACAAACGTCCGAATATTTACAAGGGCAATCTCGAATCTGAAGCCAAAATTCTTGAAATTCGCAAAATAAAATCGAAGCTCATAGAAATTTCTTATGGGATGAGACTGCCAGTTCCCCCGCGCACGCGGCGTGCCTTTACTCCCCTCTTGTTGTTGCGTGGGGCTGAGCTTGCCGCTGGTGGGACTGGCTGGCCGGACCGACCCAGCTAGCTAGCTAGACGCTCCGTTCGATAGTATTTCCAACAATAACCCTTTTGTCTCCGCGCCGTGCCGTGCCGTGCCGTGCCCTGCCGTGCCTTGCCGTGCCGCGCCGTGCCGTGCCGCGCCGTGCCGCGTTGTATGCGGAAGGAAAGCGCCATAATTTACGCGCGAAATCGCCCTCTTTTTCGCGCTGCCGCCATCATCGCAGTGCCGCTCGCCCCGCCGGCCGCCTGATGAGCCGTGCATTCACTGAATGCTAAATCGTATCTGGCCCGGGCCGCCCCGCCCCGCCCCGCCCCGGCACGGACCAAGCTCCTCAATTCATTCCGGGGCCTGGCCTCTGGTTCTGCTGCGCGGTCCCGTGCTCCTGTCCTTCAATGGCCACTTACTTAGCGGAAGCTTTTGAAGTGGCGAACCGCTCCGGACCGAACGGCCGGCCGCAAGGAGCTAGGGAAAGGAAAGGGGGAGTGTTCCGAGGAACCATAGCGGCGACAACGTCCGTCGTGGACCACGGTCAGCAAATACCCGCTCGCCCGCCGTACCCGGCTGCCCCCTGCGTGCCCCAATTCCGACCCCCCCCCCCCTTCCCCTCCCCCTCGGACCGCTGTGCGCCCGGCGTGTGGTCGGTCGGGCCGCCCCTCTCGCGGCCGAGAACAAATTGGTGAAATGTCCAATTGGGTGGGGAAGGGGGCGCAGGGGGAGGGGGAGTGCAGCGGCGCGTTCGCGCGGCCCACCTGTGTTTCGGCGGGCGATTATGCACCAAGATGGGCTGCTACAGTGTAACACGCAGTGTACACACCGCACATCGGGCCGGAGGACCGGCGGAGGCGGCCTAAATGCCAGACATGTTTTGAGCTCCAGAGCGTCGCTTAGCGGGGGTCGAACCGAACGTATGACCCCACCAATGGATTCCTTGTTTAGAGAGAAATCCATTGGTGGGATCACACGCTCGATTCGAGTCCCATTCAGCGAATCTAGAGCTCTAAAACCTGTCCAGAATTTTGGCGGCCTCCACCGGTCTTCTGGCCCACAGCGCACTGACCGCACGCGCGTGTGTTGCGCCTTGCAGGTCGACACCGATGTCATCGAGGCCGCGGAGCGCGTGCATGCAATGCCCATGTGGGTAACATGCATTGCGAACTCCATTAGCACTTATCTCTGTTCAGCGTGCACCTTCATCAGACGCTTCAGGAATACGCCCTCGGGTGCGTTGAGAGTGTGGTCTGGCATGCATCCTTGAACTGATGCACCTGGATGCATTCTTGCGTACTTGCATGATGCATCTTGAAAGCAGGTTCTCTCTCTCTCTCTCTCTCTCTCTCCCCCTCTCTCTCTCCCTCTCTCTCCCCCCTCTCCCCTCTCTCTCTCTCCCCCTCTCTCCCCCTCTCTCTCCCTCTCTCTCTCCCCCTCTGTCTCTCTCCCTCTCTGTCTCTCTCCCTCTCTCTCTTCCTCTTCTTCTTCTCCCTCTTCCTCTTCTCCCTCTCCCGCTCCCTCTGCCTCTCTCTCCATCCCTCCCTCCCTCTTTTGCCTGGACGGTGACACGGTAACCTCTGGGTAATGGCCAAGGTGGTGCGCTGGGCTGGCGCTGGGTCCGCCGCTTACATCATAGGGGCGCTCCCACCCGCAGCGCCGCAGCGTCCGGCCGGCGGCGGCCAGCGAGAAAACGGCTTCCGAGTCTCGTGCCCGGGTCGATCTTGACATACGGGTCGAGAGCGCAGCGCGCGGCGCAGAGGTCGTCACGGCAGACTGACTCCGAGAGTCGTTTTCCGTCGCTCTGTCCCTCTCGCACCTGAAGGGGACGCCCCATGAGCGCGAGAGAGACAGAGCGACGAAAGCGACTCTCGGAATCAGCCTGCAGGTGCGTTCCACTACCAGCACCGCCCGCACCGGCGGGGAGCCTTACGAGTTCATGGAGGTGGGATGCGGGGGGTTCAAGGGAAAGAGATACCTGTCCCAGAGAGCGGCTCTAAAGAGAGCACTCGTAAAACGCTGTTCTAATTGAATCAAAAAAGCATACCTGCATCCGGGGGACCGCACAAGATGAAGCTCTCGTTCGACTTTTTGCCTACTTACTACCTTACAGGCGGCGGACGGTACGACAAAGTGCCTTTACTATCAGGCGTTTTATCAAGAGTGGAAAAAAGGAGGGTCACAATCTCCGTGACCCACGATCCCCCGCTACCCACCCCTTGAACGCGGCCGCCTGCATCAAGGCCATGAACTGTCAAGGGATCCACCGGTCTTCCGCGTCTGCTGTAGCCGGGGGACGCAGACTCCGCTCCCGAAATGAGGGCAGGTAGTGACCTGGCCAGGGAATTGCATCGTTAACAAGGAAATATTCAAACTCAACATGTACCGCTGGTGCAGTAGTTAAGATCAGAATAACTCTTTTGGCTTGTGCTCAAATTTGATTACGTTGCAGACATGCATTGAAGACTTTCGGAGCACACTCTAGATGTCAACGGTGAAAGGCTGCTGCAACGGTGAGGCACTCCATAAGAAATTTGGCAAAATATACCTACTAGGCATAGTGAATTTTTAAAAGGAAGCTATGACGTCAACTGCACCAGCTTAAATACTAATAAAGAATTTTCACCGTGATATCGAGAATCTTTGCTGAGAGACTTTGTTAGCGTGTAATTCTAGTTGCGCAATGTTTTTCTGGAGCGTGTCGCTACGATTTCGTCGCCGTGTCCACTGGCCACCTCGCCCTTCTGAAGACGCCTCTCATTTCATTTGCTTCTCTTTCCCCGTAATCGGCCGGGACGCCCAGACACTGACGAGTGCCGCTTATGCAAGTATAATTCCCAGCCGCGGTGTGCTTAATGGTGAAAAGAGAAAAAAAAATAAGACATCCTTTCTCTGTTCGACAGAAAGGGCGCGGAGTCTTGCACTCCCAATTAAATGCAGACTTCCCAATATTACGCTTCCCCGTCCGCTTTCTCATTATTATTTCTTATTATTTTTAAAATAATTATTTTGTTCCTTTTTCTCATTCTGGCAATTAAAGCGAGAACTGCCTCCCGGGAAGCGGCCGGGACAGTTAAGGATATCGAAGTGGTAATATAGCCCGGAGGAGAAAAATAATACAGGGGAAAAAATACTCAGCGAGGTGCGGATATAACATGAAAGGATTTTGCTCGTTTGGTTTCTTCATAATGAGACCATGGGTCCGGGCCTTATGAAGTGAAAAGCACCACGAGCTTGTCACAAGAGAACGAATGGCGAAAATTCACACTGACATTACTTCCACTTAACTGCGATATTATATCAAGTGTAGTTCTATTCGTTGCTCTGAAAATATACGTGCAGACCGCGGTGCAGACTCTGTCACTGTTAAATTTAGTTGTCACTTCAAGACAAAATATGGATGTTATTTTTGTTGTCATGATATTCTCGTTCAATCAATGGAATTTTTATCGATGCTCCTATTTGTATTGCATGGGCAGGACAAGAATGTTATCAACTGGTTTGATGACTTTCTTCTAAGGAAATCAAGCCTTACCAAAATGTTCACATTGCTCCTCACGTCTTGAAACTAATGAAGTAGCAGTGCATTTAACTAATTGATTAATTAATGCACTCAGAGACGCGAAGCAAGTTTCTCTCTGCTTCTCTTTGCGAGGCTCACATTTCCCAGTTCGTCGCACCCAAATGTGTAAAGTTTCGTCACTCTCGGAATATGGCCGAGGAAGTATGGCCGCACACGTAGGATTTGCTATCCCTACGCTGCCTCGTGTCCTCATCACACTGTATCTAAAAAAAAGTTTAATTAATTTATTTTTTGAGTGTTGTTGATTTCACAAAAAAGTAACTCATTAAAATATGGACTGGGCGTTAGTCAACACGACTAAAAACAACAGTTAAATTCGTTTGACATTTTTTTTTTTTTTTTTTTGGGGGGGGGGGGAAAGAGCTGTTTTTGTGGACATACGTTCACGTCATAATTTAGGAGCAGCACTCTGCAAATATTGGTTGTCACTTAATGACAAAATTGTGGATGACGTATTCATCATCACTGTGGAATAATGACAATTTCACCTTGATGACATTATCGTGAAATCTCTTGTACTTAATGCATGGGTGTGATGAGTATATCATATCACTTGATTGGCTGAGCGTTAGCGAAGCCCTTGCCGTGTTTGGGCGCGCTGAAAAGTGACTGATCGTGCGTCTGTCTGTCTGTCTGTGAGTCTGTTTG